GAGGATCAGCTTGATAAACAACCAAAGGCCCACTCAGCCGGGTCTCTGGAGCACACCGGTGCAAGAGGGGCTGCCCTCGCTTCCTGAAGACCCCAGCCTTCCTTTACCAAAACGTAAAGACTCGAGAGCTTCTGCTAGAACAGTGGAGTCCATCCTTGATATAAACCTATTCTCTTTCCTCTTAGATCCTCCAAACACTTGTGGTTAATCCCTGCCTCAGCAAGGAATGGCCGGGAGAGCCATTCCAGCTCCACGCCATCCCTCCAGAGGTGGAGGAAAGAGGGCAGGACAACTCCAGTGTCATCTCTAATCACAAGCGCTGGGAGGGGCCAGACTAGACCACACCCGGTGACAAATTCAGATTCCTCATCTTCTGCGATCAAAACGGGGCCTGGCTAGAAACCCAGTTCTCACCAGCGTCTTGGCTCTGCTGCTACCCTGACCACAGGAAACGACCAGCCCTCATCAGATCACAGTGCGAGGCAGGACCCACGGCCCTAACCCTGCAAGTTTCCTGAAAACGACACCTCTGAAAAATACCAGTGCCACAGCCTCTCTGCCCCAAGCAGAACAGCGACAGGAATTCAAAAGCACCTCCAAGATCCACTTTATGTATAATGATGTCATCAGAGAGATGAAGGCTAAGAACATTCCCCAGGTGGCTCTGCTGAAATAGTTCCTTCCCTTGCTCCTGTTACAGACCTTCCTGTGCTGGAGACCGTGGGCCATTCCCATCTAATTCCCATCCCATCAATTCAGGCTTCCCCAGAATTGCCAGCTATGCAGGAAGTAAGGGGAGCCGGCCCTCATTAGAGCAGTTCAATGTCCACCACCAGCCTTTCTTCCTGCTGGGTCTGCCTGTCCCAATCTGCACTCTAGCGACTCACCAAAAACCCACAGGCATCTTCGCCAGCCGCCACTCCCAGGCCCGTCTCAAAAGCAAAGCGGTCCTGCGCGCTCTTTTGGGAAGTTTGCTTTCTAGAATGTTCAATAGCAGGAAGGTTCTGGGGTCTAGAAAGAAAAACAGACAGTGGCACACCTGGGTTGCCATCACTGACTGCAAGACCCCACGGGTCCTGTGCTCCTCGGTCGGCTCCCGGGAAAGGCAGGCAGCACCAGCCGGCTTGAGGCCCACGGGGCTCAGCGGCGCTGGCTGGAGACGAGCTTCCTCCTCGGGCAAGCGACCCAGGGCCCCGCACCCTGCCGAGCCCCAGCTACCTACCCCGGCAAGAGTCACAGGTCCCTCTGGCACCTGCAGCAAGTAGGGGGGCATCATCCTCAGTCCCTAGAAACCCTCGTTTCCAGGAATTTGTAAATTGGCCTGCTCTTCACAAAGAAAACCCCACTGGGAACATACTCCAGAATTTTCCTAGGCCTTCCTGGTTTCTCCCGCTACACTGCCTCTACCCTGAGCCTCACACACAGCAAGTGCCACGATCCCCCACCTGCGTCCCCGCGCGACCTCACCTCCGCCTGTCCAAGCACAGCTCCCCTTTAGAAGGGGACCTGACCACTGTCCCCAGGAGCACCCCCAGAGTTAGACAGCACCCCAGTGTGGCCAAGTTGGCACATCCCCAAGGTCCCCTGCACCCTACCAAGTTCTACTGTGGGACCAAGCCCACGGGTGTGGCTGGAAGAAAAGCTGGTGATCGTTGACTCTCATCCCTGCGAGGGTGCATCTGGCCCCTTCTGGGGCCTAGTCAGGTGGCCAGACTGCGCGAAACAGGTCATCAGCCCCAGCAAGCAAGCTGGCCGGCCCACGCTGACCCCTCAGGCTCACCACATCCTTGGCTACCAAGTTTCTTCCCCACACCAAGCCCCTGGGTGGAGCTTGGGCCACTGGGAAAAGCAAACTCCTGCACACAAGCAGTGGACAAAAGGCCTCGGAGAGCCAGGAAGTCTGTCTGCGGAGGAAGAGACTCTGCCCGGACACTGGGGCTGGGAAGACCTTAGCGTTGGCCGCCAGGGGAGGGAGCACCTTGGACTGCCTGCGGCAGCCCTCCTCCCCCAGCCCTCGGGAGCAGTGCTGGTGGGCTCTGGGCCGGGAAGATGGAGCCTGGCTGGAGGGGGTGGGGTGAGCACCACAGTTCGGTACAGACTCCAACGGGGGAAGGGCCGAGGGCTTCCCCCACAGCTGCTCCAGCCCCGTGGGAGCCCACCATCACCACCTGGCATCACGGCACAGAGCTGGCAGGAAGCAACTGGGTATCATCTTAAAAACCAATCTGACAAGGAAATGAGTAGCCTGGGGTGCGGGACTAAGCACCCCTAAAAGGAGTGGGAGACCGCGGCCACCAGCTGTGAGCTTACTCCTGAGCAATGAGCACGGGATTCAAAGCCTGGTTTAGTTTTGTCACCAATTACTAATTTGCTTTATTCAAAAGATGAGGTTCACTGTCCCATTTTTTTCCAATGGAAGCCCCCTGGCCAAGACAGCCCTGGACGTCAGTTTCGTTTTGGTTGGGGGAGAATAGGAAGGGGGAGTTGAGGGCTGACTGGACTGGTGCCTAGGGTTGCAGGTCAGTGTCACAGGTTGCTAACAGAAGAGTCTTTTGATATCACCAGGGGCAAAAGAGATAGAACGCTACCTGCTAGAGGAGAGCACCTGCTAAAAGAAATCCTCCTCCTTTTCCTGTCTTCAGCACCTAGCAACTTCTGGGATTGACAGTCTACCTGCAATCAGGGCAACAGAGGTAAAGAGCTGCAGGGCCGACTCTGCAAAGTCCTGAATCCTGGGGAGAATAGCGCTGGGAGCTCCCTGGTTTTGTGTGTGTGTGTGTGTGTGTGTGTGTGTGTGTGTGTGTGTGTGTGTGTGTGTGTGTGTGTGTGTGTGTGTGTGTGTGTGTGC